CACACGAGATTTTCATACACTAGAAAGCAACATTGTAGACGCCATCTCGAAGCAAAATTACGAGCCGAGGAATCAGATAACGTATTTTTAATGTTGTACCAGTGTAAACTAAACATGTTTTTGGGATTTGATGTTCTCACGGCAAAGAAGATGTAGACGCTGATCTTCTGTGTTGAAACGCCGGGGACTTGTCGGTTTTAACCAACGTTTCGGAAAATTATAATCTCCATGTTCGAGTCTGAAGACAGAAATAGTATGTTTCCTCGAAACGTTGGTAATTACCCACAAGTCCACACGATGTTTCAAATCAAAACACCAGCATCGATAACATGATCAGTTGGTTAGAATATAGCGCCAATTGGTAAAACAAATACAGTATGTGGCACGCGACAATTAAAGTCTTTGACATATAATCAGGAATAGAAAAGGTAAAATTTAATCGGAGTTCCTCAAAGTATGTTATTGTATTTAATTTCTTGCATAAGCTTGCTGTATTACGTAAGGTTGTACGCCTAGTTTGTTATATATTTAGTTTCAATTTACCACGGAAAGAAAATGGTGGAAACTTAATAAGTTTCATGTACGGTTTGTTTTCTGTTAGGTACGCTGATGAAGACATTGTCTTGCCTGTCCAGTCCGCAAGGATACGAACAATCAACAGCTTCTCTTTCTTGTATGGCCGTGTTGAAGTTCGAGCTAAGCTGCCCAGAGGCGACTGGCTGTGGCCAGGTAAAGTATCATATTGTTTATAACTCACGATTTCTCAGAAAAGTAAAGTTACTTTTATTACACTCATGGGTAGAAAATCGGCTTAGTTTGTATTCCTATTCGGGTAGAAAGTGGGCATATAAATACTTTATCTTCTTGGGGGCATGACATTATGGCGTGATTGACGATTCCATTATTTAACGATACTGTTTCAACTAGAAGAGTTTTATAGCGTTTAATGTTACGTAAGATTGTTATGAGTAGTGGGTAGATGATTTTAAAGGTCATGGCCATGGTCTATTTCAAGGTAATATTCTATTATTCCTTTGGAAACACAGGAAAACCATGGTAAATAATATCGGTCTTCAAAATATATGTATACAGCAAAATGATTAGATTAATCTGCTTGGTAGATTAATTGGTTAGTTTTTTAATGAATATTAAGTCAACTTATCTGTGGCTGTTATGTACTGCTGTAAGCCAACTGAAGACTTTAAGCTTGGACAATTAAATTAAAACCTTGCCTCGGTTAAATTATAGCAGTATTATTTTCTCCGCAAGAGACGGTGTGATTATACGGCCATGACTCGGTCAATTGAGATTAGGGAGTGGAAAATCCTCCACGTCAGAGGTGAAGGTTGTCTTGTCATGATTAAGGTTCCAAAAGGTTCTTTCTTTTTGTATTATCCTCCTATACGTAGGTACCAACAGTATGACGTGTCGTGAAGACTAAGTTCTACACAGACTTATTTCTGCCAGCACGAGCTGCCTCTACAAATGCATTATCTCCATTGGCGTAAAAGTTATTTCTTCCACATGAACTATAACCACAGTTTCTCTTCGTTTGAATAAGTACCGACAATTTAGGCTGCCTATGTTGTTATTGAGTGTGTTCAGGTATTAAATTCCCTGTTACTGTTTTATTATTAAAATGTGTTTTCTTAGGGCAATGAAAAACAACTTACATATAAAACGGCCAATACTATTTTCTACCACTAATTAAGAAAAGGAAGTATTAAATTGTTTCCAGGTTAATTACATCTTCTGTTAATTTATGTAAATTAATGGTTTAATTGGAGATTTGAAAGCCGCATAAAACATTTTAGTCAGAAAATGTGATGAGAAGAAACAGCATGTAAGAGGAGTTGTAAATTGGAGGATATTATTAAAGTGGGTCATGAAGAATTATGATGTGAGGATGTGGGTTGGAATCATCTGGCTCCGAATATCATTTAGTGCAGGCTTTTTCAAAAACTATAATACTCTTCGAGTTTTATGAATAGCCGAAAGTTCTTTGCCCCCCCCCCCTCCAGCGACTGTTAACTTCTGAACAAGGATTACGCTCAAGTCAAGTCAATAAATCACTGATTTATCAGACATACAACTGTAAATAATTACATTAAAATAGATTGAATCAAACCTCAAAGCATCGTGGGACAAGATTTCCAATCTGGAAATCTTCTTATGCACTTTGACGAACACTGAGTACATTGCCATTAAAAATAAGTCTTAATATACAAATAAATATTTTTATATTTCCTTCCGATTCTGCCCGGAATAATTCAAGGTTCTGTAAAAGTGGCCGCTTTTTCTCGTTCGGATTTGCGAGCTATGGCTAACCTTGATACTCATTTCGGTTTAGAGCATCTCGAAAATTTGTCAGGAAACAAAGCTCCATTTATTTGTCTGTATGTTTCAACACGTTAAGTACTGGGAAGATTTCCATTAAATTTAGTATTGCGGGGTGTAAACGATTCAATGTTATGATAATTTGATTTTGGTCTGCATCGGCCCAATAACAACCCCACGTACGAATAAAATTTGTAAAATAAAACTGTTTACTTAGAACTACATAAGATAATATCACATATATATATATATATACTATGTGTACATTATTAAATCTGCAGCTTTAGCTTTAAATATTTTTCGACGTAATCTATTGTCCACGCGATAATTCAATCACGTTTGTAACAATAGTTTTGCGTCTACAGTAATTGAACATTCAAGTCAGTGAGCTAAAACGAAATGTCAAATAACCCATTTTGAAAATATTTGAGTGCCTGTTTCTACAAGGCTTTGCTTATTCATTAAACAAAGCTTTTCATGTGTGAACAGCAATTTGGCTGAAGCCCAGAAAGGACGAGTATGGCTCGTGGCCGGCGTCTGGTGAGATCGACATAATGGAAGCACGTGCGAACAAGAAGCTGACGAACGCTGCTGGTGTCTCCCAGGGCATCGACAGAGTTGGGGCGACTTTGCACTTTGGACTTAATTCGTCGTACAACGTCTGGAGGCCCACTCACTGGGAAATGTAAGTTCTATTTCATTATACTAAAAACTATGCTTAATATTTTAAACCTGTCTATTAATTATTTAAACGCTCGACCAAATACAAAACCTTTTGACAAAACACACACTTATCCATTATAAAGAACCAAGGATGAATAAATTAAGAAAATAATATATTCTTTTTAAAATTTCAGTTCAAGTGGTCAAACAATTTCCTGCATTGCCCTGCTAAAATGCACATATTTTCACCCTATAATAAGCCAGTTTAATTCGATTAAGACCTTTTAGCCCTTTGCCTATAAGATAGCTAAATCCCTAGAACAGATTTCTGTGCGTAAAATTAATTGTCGCTAAGCAGTCTTTATGGAACCAGAAAATTCTTTTTCGTGTTTATTGAATTGAGTCACATTCTCACTCTCTCTGATTTTAAGGTAAATTTTAAAATTATCATTTAATTTATACTCTGGAATAAATGCTTATTTTTGCGGATATTGCTGGATTATAATGTTGACCAAATCGGGTTTTTTTGCAGGATTTAGCAGAATTTTTTTTACAGTAAAGGGATTTAATTTCTGATGCAGGCTACTTAGTCAGATGAACGTAATTGTGATAATCTGTGTATGGTCTTAAGTTTTTCACAGTGATACGAGTTTATGATAAATCAGACCATCATATAAACTGTCATATTTCAATTGTTCATGACATCTTCAGATGGTACAGCGTCGTTAACAATCTATGAACCAGTTAACTTCAGTGTACAGAAGTTACTTAGACCTGTATACATAGGCTATAGTATATAGTGTAACTTCGATTATGAAATTATGTTCACTCTTTGGATTCCGTGATACCTGGATTAAAGGTAATTAAGGTAATTTGCTTTAATTCTTCAATTATCTCCGGCAACAAAGTTCATTCCCTAAAATCGTAAAGTCCACCTAGAGAAGAAGTGTTTACAACCACGAAATTAGTATATTACTTATAAAAATATGTTTTAATAAAATACGTACGTCCAAATGCGCTCATTTATCAATCATACCAAATATAAGCCAAATTCTATCTATCTGCCATTTGTATAATAAATGGTACAATTGAACGTTAATAAAAGATGTGGCGTATAATACGACCCACAAGGTAATAAATAGCTAGTTTTATAACACGATAATAGTGGAACAAAATTCTGATATTTTTTCTTGATTGTTTAAGAACACAGAAAATAATAATAAATGTTGCTGTTAATATTTATGAATTCTTTTATCATAGGAACGAAAAATGAGACAAACTACTTGTTTGCGCCCACAAATTAACGCTAATGCACAAGCGTAGTTCCTACAGACATCACTAGAAAGCAAGTGGAAGAACGTGTATTCGTGTCGTAAAGTGTACAAGGAGTTACAAAAATCGACAGTGAGCTGTATTACCTGTTGAGCCTTATTATCAGCGGGCATAATGTACTAATTATATCTATTTTGGTGGAATGCGGAAGATTAATCTTAGACCTACTTAAATTTTAAGAAAGAAGTAACTTAACGTTTACTTAGGATCACAAATTTAGTTTACAGCGAACAGACTTAAGAATAATCTTTGGAAAAGTCTCCAAAATATAATTTGAAATTTCTTTCAGATAACACATAAATACAATGTATTCACTGATAAACCGGAACGCACCTGTCACTTCCCAGCTTCCGGCAGGAACCGCATGACTTACCGCCGAGCTCTACAAGATTTTCCTTATACGAGCCTCGTATCACTTTATAAAACCAATAAAATAAACTCACCTAAATTACGAAGTTCAGATCTAAAATCCGGAAGGTGACAGGTGCTTTTACCTTTGTCAGTGAACGCACTATGTTATATTTTAGACGGAAACATAATGTAGGAACTAGAATTGTGATCAACGAACAAATAACTGAGCATTTTATATTTGTATTGAGAAGATTGTAATGTAGGTTTAAATTAAAACCGTTGATGTTAGTGTGATATGAAAGGTCAGGGGAAAAGTTGCTTATATTGTATAATCTCATGACTGTACTATTTCTGTTGTTTGAATCGTAATGCTGGGTTTCAAAATCACAGAAAATAAGCTGCAGAGATGGGTTTACTCGCAGTGGCGTGTGGACACCAGCAATTTGATAGTAAACACAGATAAGATACAAAGATGGGAAATTCCCGTATCCCAAGCATACTTATGAATAATAACGGAAAAGGTGCACGTGGGAAAGGAAACAAGAAGAGCTGGAGAAAATTTCACAGTGGGGAGCTTCATAATATTATTATAGTAGCCGGGGAAAGGGGGATTATACGGGCGGGGCACGTAGTGCGAATGTGAGAGATAAGAAATGTATTAAAAATTTGTGGGGAAATTTGAAGGTAATTTTTTGATTATCAAAGTGACTATTACTTTCAGAAGAAGGACTTTGCTCCGTGTGTTTGTCCATAGTAACATTTGCACTATTCTGAAATTCAGTTATGAAGAATTTCATTTTGAACCGGGGCAAGATAAGCGGCCTGATCCTCATAATGACAGCGTGGTCTTTGCAGGAACATAGCAGAGTCTGGCCGTGATTTCGCAGACGATTTCCATGTGTTCGGTCTAGAATGGACTGCAGATCATCTGAACTTCACTGTTGACGGCAAGCGAATTGGGTCAAGAGGGGTTCCTCCTGGTGGGTTTTGGAAATTAGGCGGTTTCGATAAGATTCCTTCAGCCCGCAATATCTGGAAAGATGGAAAACCCATGGCTCCTTTTGACAAAAAGGTAATTAAGACTTTCTTTAACTTATGATATATACGAGGTCTGTCACAAAAATAACGAGACTGATGCTGTAAGTAGGCAAACAATTATGGTGAGGGCGAAATAAGCAGACCATATTTGACCCTGATCTGTTCTCTACCAGTGACGCAAGTTTCAACTTGTTTGCTTCACTCAGTAGCAGTAGACGAGTGTTTTTGTACAGACGTGTTTTTACCCTCGGCCGGAAAATGTCTGACTGCAAAAGTGAACAACGAGTTAACATCAAGTTTCTTGTTAAACTGGAAAAATCAGCGACGGAAACTTTTCAATTATTGACTGAGG